CCTCTTGTGGCATTTATCATTGCATTGTTTGTGATTAAATTCCTTGTGCATTTGTTTCAGTACAAATGAATGTGAGGAATAGCGCATATCAGAAAGATCAGACTTTTTCTTGAGATTACATACACAGTTTTCTTGTGGAAGATTATATTTTTAAAAATACTCATTAAGTATTTAACTTTTTCTCAAAGTAATATATGCAAAGTTTTAATCCCCAAAGCAAGTTTTTTCTGCTCACTGTCTACTAACCCCAACTCTTCTCTGAGACTTCTTTTAAATAAAGGACTTTTAAGTAATAACAGTTAGAAAACATTTCATAACAATTAAATAGAGGAAAGTTAGGAGTTTTCATTCTAGTCAAAAAAAGCCTTGGCATGAAGATGGTAAATAGAGCTTCCTCTTTGATGTAATTCTGTTTTAGCTTTATTTTATTTTAGAATTTTGTAATTTATTCTTAAATACTACCAATTATAAGAGGAAATACTAATTTTTCTTGAGGCACATATTAAGATTGTACCTATAAAATAAGTACTAGTTTAAAAGTAATGTTTTTCAGGGATATGGAAGGACTTAAGCATTTTTAATGGCTTTTAGATCAGATGGTCTCCATGGCATTTCTATGTAAGCTTATTAGCCTATTTGTTTTTAGAAAATTTTTTTATTGATTGATTTTTTTATTCTTTTAGAGAGGTTGATTCTTGTATGTGCCCTGACCAGGGATCGAACCCACAACCTCAGAGTAGCAGGATGATGCTCTAACCAACTGAGCTACTGGGCCCAGGCCATCACTTTTTTCCTGATTTATATAACTTCAGACACCATGTGCTATCTTTCTACTATGATGAATGTGTATTTTGCTCACTTATGGTCTCTACTCCTTTTCCCCACCAGTGAAATTATGACATTATTTCTCTATGCCTGCTCTCTTTTTCATCAGTCACAACCACTGTGCATCTTTCTAAGCTTTCACCTCTCCCCTCCCCTCTGCCTCCAGCCTGTTTAGCTCTGTTCCTACTTATGTACGATCTGTATTCTGTCCTGTAACCAGAGTTGTCTGTACCCTGGCAAGTTAGTTTTTATTCCAAAAGGTAAACAATAAACACCTTATTTACATTTTATGACTGTATAATTATTGTATATTTTATGAGACTGATACGCTGCCTACTGCGCTAGGAGGGCTAATTATTGTGTATTTTAGAGATAATTATAATACTCAAGCCATGTAAAGGAGAATGTTCCTATTTAGATACATCAGTAAGTACCATCATTCTGTATCAACTGTGTAAAGTCATACCACATGTTAATTAGGTTCATATTTGGACCATGACTTTCTCAGCTTCAAGTATATAAGAAAGTACTCCCCAATATATATTTTCCCAAAATGTTTTTCAAATTTTGTTTTTCGTGTGTACATCCATAACCCATCTGGAAAATTGATTTTTGCCTGTGTTATAAACTACAGGTACAATTAATTGTCTGAGTGCAATTTGTTGACTAGTCTGCCTTCCTGAGGAATATACAATCTCCATTCACATCTCAAGTTTCCATGGATGTATAAATCTGTTTTTCTTCCTTCTAGACTGTTTATTTGGTTTATTTAACTACTATTCTTGTGTTAATAATGCTACACTATCTTAATTATAAATTTTATAATAAATCTGATCATTGGTTCAGCAGAATGTACCTGTTCAACTCTAGAAGTATTCTTGAGCCATTGCTCTTACATAACCATTTAACAATCAACTTTTACAAGTTCCATGAAAAACTCCTAAGATTTTGATAAATAACTAGCATTTATATTTACCTTATTATGTGACAAACACTGTTAACTCACGTAATCCTGACAGCCTTATAAAGTAGGCATACTGTTAATATCCTTATTTTATGGAGGGGGAAATTGAAGAATAGCCAGATTAAGTAATTTCCGCAGTATTACACAATAAGTGGCAGATTCGGGATTTGAAACCATGCAGCCTGGCTCTAGAGCCCTTGCTCTTGTACAGAGTTCTGGAATTCAGTTGGTTCTGGAGATCAGTCCCTGTCAAATTCATCCCTTAGAACGCGATTTCATCTCTAAACAAAGACTCAATTTCCATTTAGGGAGATTTTTTTTAATGTGCTTTCAGTGTTAGAATTATGTCCATACACTTCTTACATATCTTTGGTTAGATTTAGTTATGGGTATCTAATGTTTTTGTTGTTGTAAGTGGTATATTCATATGAACTCTGCGTTTTGTTTGTATTTGGCTTATATTTAGATACAGAATTATAAATACAGAACATAAAAATATAGAATATATATAAATATATAGAACACATAGTTTACAGAGATTCATGTAATAAATAAAGATGCATATATTGATCACTGTAAATATCTGATTATGTAGCCAGTTATCTGTGAACTCTCACTGCAATTTGTGAAGTCTCTTTAGACAAAATTATCATCGGCAGATAATGATTTTGTTCTTTTCAGATTTTTATATACCCCCTCTTTTTTGTGTGCGTTCTAAGAACTTCATATAATGTTGAAGTATTGAAATACCTTTTTTAAAAATGCTTTTATAATTTTTACTACCAGGGTTTTACTGTTAGGTTTTTAATAGAACCCTACATCAGATTAAGGAACATTTCTTCAAGTTTTCCAAGGGCTTTTAAATTGAAGGGACATGGAGTTTTATCAAATGCTTTCTGAAATCATGCTGTTCTTCTCTAATCTGTTAATGTGGGGAATTTCTTATAGTTTTCTAATATTAAGCCACTGTTTATTTTCTGAGATGCATCTAACCTGGTCATGATTAAATTTTTTTAAAATACTGATTTATTTGGGATTTTCCCATCTAAGTTAATATGTAAGATTGGTCTGTGATTTTACTTTATTTGTAATATTCTTAACTGGTTTTGGTATTAAGGTTATATAAGCCACATGGGATAAGTTAGAGAATGATCTTTTTTGCCTGTTCTCTGGAAGTTGGTGTAATATTAGAATGGTCTATACCTTATGTTAATAAAAATTCACCTGTAAAAGCCATCTGATCTTGTGAGAAGGTTTTAAATTACTGACTTAATATAATATCTTTAATAGTTACAGAATTAAGATTTCTTTTTATTTTTGAGTCACTTTAGTTTGGTAATTTAATTTGAAGAGTGAGTGTTTCGGCTGAGTTTTTTAATGTGTTGGTATACAGTGTGTAATATTTTGTGCATTGTTTAATCTCCACAGCATCTGTAGTTGTGGGCTGCCTTTGGTTCTGATACAGTTTATGTGGTCTCTTTTCTGTAATCTTGTCAGAGATTGTCATGTTTTGTCTAGTCTTCAAAACCAACTTTCTGCTTTTTTAAATTGTGTGGTAGTTTTCTGTTTACTTGAGTTCTACTTTTATCTTTATTGTCTCCCTTTTATACTTTTCTGTGCTTTTCTAAGTTCATATGTTGTAAGCTTAGTGCATTAATTTTCCATCTTTTCCAATGTAGTGTTTTTAAAGATTAAATTTCCCTCCACAACAATTTGCATCTCTAGACATTTGATGTTTGTGTTCAATTCCCAAATGATGAAAAAAATGTTTTTAATTTATTTATTTTACAGAGGGGGAGGGAGAGAGAGAAAGAAAGAGAGGGAAACATCAGTGTGTGGTTGCTTTTTACATGCACCCCCAACTGGGGACCCACCCACACCCCAGGCATGCGCCCTAACTGGGAATCAAATCAGCAACCCCTTGGTTCTCAGGCTGGCACTCCATCCACTGAGCCATACTGGCTAAAGCAGAATTTTATGTGAATTTTATTTGAAATGTATGGAGATTATTTTCCCATAAATTTTAAAATTTTACTAACTTAAATTGCATGGTGGTCAGAGAACAGTGTTTATTTTACTTATCCTCTGAAAGTACATAGTATATTATGAATGTTTCATGTGTATTTGAGAATAATGAGTATTCTTTAACTATTACAGGCAGTATTGTTAGGTTCATTATAAGTCTTGTTAGCAGTGTTTTGTTCAAGTCTTACATATCTGTAGCAATTTTTTGTCCTTACAAAGTATCAGTAATTGAGAGGATTATGGTATTCTCCCATGATCATTGTGGGTTTTTCTATTTCTAGTTGTATTCCTTTTAGCTCTTACTCTCCAAAAATTAAGGCTGTGTTGTTAGATGCCTAGATGTTTAATGTTTTCTGCCTTCTTGGCAAGTTACATTTTTTCATCTTCACGTAGTTACTTTTTTTACCAGTTAATTCTTACGGTGTGAATCTTTGTCTTTAATATAGCTACTCATATGGAGATTGAGGGGTATTAATATTTTTCTTTTTTTCTCCCACCCTTTTAACCATTCTGTGTGTTTTTATGTCTTATATTCAAAATATGGTCAGAATTTTTCCAAGTACAGATCATATTCTATTACATAACTGATGAATTCACTTGTCTTATATTATTCTGATTGTTTAGCTAATAAACTTACGTTTTGCAAGATTTTTTGTATTGAATTGGTGATTTTATAAAAATTCTATTTTTCCCTATATTGTTTTGAAAGTATACATTCTTTTTTTTTTAGTGATTTCTCTTAAAATATATTAAACAGCTATCTGATAGAAGTTCTTTTGGTGAGCTCTTTTGATTGTTCATTTTTTTTATTTATCAGTGCCTTTTTTTATTTTTGAAATACATGTTGAGTACACATTTCTGTTTTATCTTCTCAGTAATTTGAAGATGCTCTAATGTATTCTGGTTTACATTTTTGATATTGGGAAGTTTGTGGTGCATCTATTTCTGGTTCCTGTTCAAGTTGTAAAAGGGAGTGTCTTTATATGTTAGGTCTTTAAGATTACTTTCTGGATATTCCCACAATCTGTGAGTTTTCACTGTATGTCATTTCTCTTTTGTAGTCATGAGTTTTCATTATAATCAGATGAAGCACTTTTGTCTATTTTTTATAACTTTTGGGGGGGGTCATTGTCTCTTGTTTTAACTCGTTTCTGATTTTTATGTTTTGCTGTTTTTTCCTCTTTAGTTGCCTTTCCCCACCTTCCTGGATCTGCTCCTTCATGGCCTAGTCTTGTGGACACCAGCAAGCAGTGGGACTATTATTCAAGAAGAGAGAAGGAGCGAGACAGAGACCGGGACCGGGAGCGGGACCGAGATCGTGATCGGGACCGAGAAAGAGAGCGCACCAGAGAGAGGGAGCGGGAGCGAGACCACAGCCCCACACCGAGTGTTTTCAACAGGTGCGTGGAGTGGGTAGGAGTCTGTGTGCCCCTGTTGGCACTTAATGTGCATGTTAGAATTTGTGCTTGATAAGGGGGTGGAAAGTCCGGTTCAGTTGGGAAAGGATTATTTGAAAGAGTATGTAGGATAGCCATTTAAAAGCCTTGAGGCTGTTTAATTCATAGAGGTTCTCATTACCTAAAGCAACAGTCTTCAAATCTGTTCACTCCTCCCTTAAAAGAATTTTGAAAATTTTGTATCCCTTCATATATCTTTGCATCTAAAATTTTCATGTTAAATGTAAATAGTTGACAATGTATAGTTTCCAGTGTATTATAAACATGACAGTTTTAGAATAAAATTACCAGTCTTTTAAGTATGTGCAGTGGGCTAAAAACTTTATAGTGATTTACTAAACATCCATTTTTTAAAAAGTGCATAAACAGGCTTTCTTTAACAGATGAAAATTATACATTTCTTTTTGTGGTCAAATTCTTATTTCTGAATTACTTCCCCCAAAGAATTTTATTCTAATGTAAAATACTTTTATTCCTAAGAAGGTTTTTTTAAACTGATCAACTTGTCAGCCTTTCCTGCAACGTACTTATGTGAGTTAAAATGCATAAAAAATGTAATTATTTAAAACATTTTGTCATGGTTTTAATTATCATCAATTTTATATGTAATGTAAATTCTGAAACTAATTTAATAGCATACCTTCCTTAATGTGATTGTGGAGCTTTTGCCTATCCCTAATTAATATATCTGTAAATGATTATTATTGTTGTTAGGAAAAAACACTTTGCTACTAAAATATATTTCTTTTTTAGAGAATATATATATATATATAGTTGTAAGTGCTGAGAAACCTTTTTCATATAAAATATGTGAGAATCAATAGAATTTTGTTGTAGCTCCATCACTCAATTATTTGAGCTCCTGAAAATTTAGTGATGTACCAAGAGTACATGGTTAGCAAACCTAGCATCAAAGTCATTTTAAGGGTCTATCGGCTCATGATTTGATTTTCTTGGGAGGGTAGAATTGGAAACCACCTGCTTTGTAAAACTACTGGTTACTCCGTGTAATTGTTTCCTGGGACTACTATAAAAACGCACCACAAACTAGTAACCAAGAACAGAAATTTACTCTGAGCTCTAGAGGCTAGAAGTCTGATATCATCCAAATGTCAGTAGGGTTAGTTCCTTTTTGTACACTCTGAGGGAGAATCTGTTCCATGCCTATCTCTTAGCTTCTGGTGGTGGTTAGCAGTCCTTGGTGTTCTTTGGCTTATAGTTGTATCACTTTCATCTCTCTCTTGTCTTCACATGGCATTCACCTTTCTGTATCTGTGTCCAAATTTCCCTCTTACGGGACTACAGTCATTGAATTTGGATGCATCCTAATCCAGTATGACCTCATCTTAACTCGACATCTGTAAAGACCCTGTTTCCAAATAAGGTTACATTCATAAGTCATTCACCTTCCTGCATTTTATCCCCAGTTCTCTTGCTGCATATCCTAGCTACACAGAACTAGTTGCTGTTCTGGGAATTCCCTCATAGTTTCATACTTCTGTGCTCATAGTTTCATACTTCCTGTGCTCTTGTCGTTTCTTAACCTCTCTGCCTCACAAACTTCTATTCATTTCTTGAGGTCTAGCTCCCATTTGTCTTCTGTGAGCTCCTTTGCTCCTGAAACATTCACATGTTTCCTAAGCACTTTATGTATTTTCTTTAGCATGTCTTCCTTAGTTAGCCTCTTTAAGAGCATCGGCCACCATTTTTCATTCTGTAACCTCAGCACTTTGTGCAGTAATGCCTGGCACATAATGAATATGTCAGCAAATAAAATGACTAACATATTTCAGGGGAGGAAGATGAATACACTAGAGAAAAAACAATTTTGAATATTATTGGTAAAACCTTTAAGCTAGAAAGATTTTTAAATGAATAAAAATCTGTTTTTATCACAATCAAAGCTTTAATTTGGGCATCTTTCTTAAAACATACGTGTAGATATCATCACAATGTAGGATGAAATAAGTTAAAAATAACTTTTATACTATTTTTGTGGGTGAGATAAATAAATGTAATATATATACATAGACAGTTTTCTGATTTTGCTGGATGAGAGGAAGCACTAAATACATCAGATCAATTCAGGATGTGAGCACATGCTTGATTCAAGCAGCATTTATTTTGTTAGTTATTGTCATCTAATCATAGACTTCTTAATCCAAAAGGTCCTTAGAGATTATCTATTCTAATTTTTACTTATTAGATGAGGAAATGGAAGCATAAAGAAATATAAGGCAATAGTAGAGCCTTACTATCTACTGGAAATGTGGTTGAGGTTTTATTTAAAATCTCTACTCTTCAAATCAGGTAGTTTAAGAATTGTTTTCTCATTTTCCTTATTATTCTCTAAACACTTGATTTCCTTTCCCCCATGTCTTTGAGGAGAAGGGAGTAGCAATTCCTTCTTTTATTAATGAAATTAACATTTTCTAAGTCTCTGTTATGTACCAGGCACAAAGCTGTATGCTTAAGGATACAGAATTATTCATGCACTGCCCTTTCTGATGTAACCATATAGTATTGTCAAGGTGACTAGGACTTGTTAGTAGTTTAAAACTTTTCCTAAAGCAATGTCCAATAAGAAACTGATGAACAGGATTTATTGATCTTTTTTCTTCCTATAGTTCCTAATAATATGACTTATATTTTGTAGGCACTTGATAGATTTTTATTCACTAGGTTAATTAATGCATGATACATATGTGTATGTGTGAGTGTATGTTTTGTGTTCACGTAATAGGACATATGCTGTCAACTTTAGCCACGAAGGTCGGTATGATTCCTTTAAGTTCAAAAGCATTACTTTCCAGAAAGTTGAGTTCTTTCTAATGTATAAACACTTGAGATAGCACTGCTATCTCTAGAATGTCCATACTTAAAAGTTAAGGAGCTTAACGTGAAACCTAATAGGACAGATGACTAAATGTAATGGCTTTGCTAGAGCTCATAAATTTTCTTTGAATGAATATAATACAAGGTTTATAGAATGTTGGAGGCTAAATTCTTTCATTCAAACACACATACACAAATGCTACTTAATTTTTATTGGAACTAAGGTATTAATAATTAAACCACAGTTAATTTTTAGGTTGCTATGCTGTAGGGCATCAGAAGTCGTTGTTTATCTAAATCTAACTAAAACTTGAAGGTCATAGAGGCAAAAGGTACTGGAATTTTGTGTTGTTCTGAATTATCCCAGGAATAAAGTGTTCTTTGGAAAATCCAAGTGAAGCGTAAGTGCAGGCCATTTTTTTTAAATTTTTGAAGACATTTTAGCAATATGGCATGTAGTATGTGTTGTGTTATAAATTATAGGGTCATTGTTCTGAAAATTACAGACCAGTTTCAACATACAGTCTATAGGCCACTTAATTGTGGGCCAGATTGAAGTCTGTCTGTTCTGGGTATTTGAGTGAAGTCTAATGATTTCCAGGCCCAGAGAACTTTGTGCTGTAGCTGCTTATCAAAGGGCTAGAGAAGGAGGGGCTTTAGATTTTGTGCATGAGACCAAATATTCTATCATCTGTAGTAAGGTTCCCATCCGATCATTGCCTTCAGAATCTTAAAAGGCCTCAAAAACATAAGAATTGGTGTTAAGGCAAGGTTACAAAAGATGAATTATGAGATAATTTATTTTAGTGTAAACCCATTTGGAATCATTACAAAGCCTTATTTTTTAAGAGGGTAATATTAATGATATTTGTCCTGGTGTGTGCTAGTTTATTATGCTTCCGAAATCTTAATTACAGCATCAGAAATGTTAATTGCAGTGTCAGGCACCATTACGAAAAAGGTACTGCTTCTGAAAAATTTAGCATTAAATTTACTGAAGATGGTGAACCTGCATGTCAGCTACCTTTTATTAAGGGCCCTCTCTGTACCAGGCACTTTATAAATGTTTCTGTCAGTTCTTCAACAGCTCTGCAAAAGGTTGTTGCCAGTTTTTCAGGTAAGAAAACTGAGGTCTGGAGAGGTTAGGTCCCTTACCCGGGGTCACACACTTAGTAAGTAGTAGAACTAGGATGTGATCCTGGGCCCACTCTGCCTGTACTCTCCACTACTCCACACTGTCTGTCCTGGCACATTGTCTTTCAGGTGACTTGCTTCCACCTTCCAAATACAAAGTATGTATTTGTGGTTAGAAAAATAGTGTGAATGTAAACATATGTGCACACACACAAATGTGCGTGTGTGTGTGTGTACATTTTATTTTAATGAAATGTTTTTAACTGTAGTGTATTGAAGCAGTAATACCTTGGTCAGCAATATGACTTGCATTAGATGTAGTACTACTGAGTCATTTCTGTTGCTAGGAGACCACAGGATGATTTCTTCTTTTTATATGGCTTATACTTTCACCTGATTCTATTTTCTGTTACTCCCCCTCAGATTCCTCAGCCCTTCGATGCTCCAGACCACTTAATTTAATAATTTGTATTAAACATATATTTCTAGAATCCAAGGCTCTTCAGAACACAGTGCTCTAAAAGATATTTTCATTCTGAATTTACTGACATTAAGTTGTAGAAAGTATTGACTTCTATGCTGAACAAAATGCAAAAATATGAGACTTAAAGGATTGGGAGAAAGGGGGAATGTACCTTTGGTGAAGGTACATGAAAAGAGGGGACAGGGTTAGGGAGGTGAGGGAGACTACTAGCCTTGGTCCCAGTTTTACAAGTCCATTCTCTCAAAACTCAGAAGGTGGAGGTGCAGCTGAAGCTTATACATTTGAAGTTATTGGCCACATGAAGTGGCCCTTCTCACCACATACGTACAGTATTAAGTAACTGGGATGTCAGAATGCAAGTGTGTCCACAGGCAACTTTTTGAGTGGATATGGTAGAAGTTGCTTTGATGTCCCTCTGTTCTTCATTTCTGTGCCTCTTTATTAGATGAATATACTCTTTACGTGATTGAAAACTTAAGAACTTTTATCTGCTTCCTACTGTGTAATGTAGCCAGTGTGAGCCAAATATTTTAAATACATTTTCAGAATCTTAACTATGTACCCAGTATTTACAAGTAATACAGGATTTTGGTTGAATATCTGAAATATACAAACATGCTTTTTTAATTCTAAAAGGAGTAAGAGAAAGCTAATTAAAATTTAAATCATTTACAGCTCCCAAGTTTTGAAGAAAACAGCAGTTTTCTAAAATTTCTATCCCATAACAATTGTGAAAACACGGAACAAAATTGATCCCTTAACAGGATGTGTAATTACATATTTTGTGTTCTTGTATGAGCTTTAGTACTAATTAGGGAATGGCATCATTATTTCTCTCTCAGTTCAATGACTATTCTGTATCTATATCTCTTTAAGATGCTAATATGGGGGCTTCTGGTTTGAACTCAAGTCACATCTTTTACCGTTTGCAGTCATTAAGTATTAACAGTCCAGTTGTCAAGATCAGTTGTTTCTGTTCCGATTTCAGTGACGAGGAACGTTACAGATACCGGGAGTATGCAGACAGAAGCTATGAGCGTCACAGAGCAAGTCGAGAGAAAGAAGAACGGCATCGAGAGAGACGGCACAGAGAGAAGGAGGAAACTAGACATAAGTCATCTCGAAGGTTTGCTCTTTAATAAAATAGTGAAATACTTTGAAACTGACAAATTTATTTGACTTCAGGAAGTAAAAGCAAAGGTTTTCCAGTAAACAGTAGAGCATATGTATTCCTAATTAGAAGATTAAGAATAATGTTTAATAAGTTGATTCCTTATAGGTTTCAACACAGATTTTTAAATGTAACAAGACTGTGTGTAATACCAGTAAACCAAAATGAGCATGGAATATAAAATAATATATGAGAAAATTAGGCTTTCTACATTATCTTGTTAGGAGGAGGGAGTTTGGCATATGAACCAGTCTTTAATAGTAAATATTAAAGCAGTATTTTAATTAAACAAAATTCAGGGCATTAAATATTAATGCCTATTATTTGCCTAAAATAAATCCTAGTAAGTATTTCTGAAAACTTTAGTGCTTCAACTTTTCGTTTGTAATTTTTCTTTCAAAATAAAATATATGGGCCCTGGAAATAATATTGGCGAAGGTGAGCCTATAAAGTAAATACAATCTCAGCATAAAAGTCACAAAAAACTGATAACTGCCTAAAATGTGTTTTGAGAAAAAGAACCTGTGAAATTTTTTGATGCCCTGCATTGAGGATTTACCTAGACAAAGTGGATGGATTTTTGTCACCACTTGTGTACCTACACATTTTTAAGAACAAACCTTATGTCTTTTTCAGTAATAGTAGACGTCGCCATGAAAGTGAAGAAGGAGACAGTCACAGGAGACACAAGCACAAAAAATCTAAAAGAAGCAAAGAAGGAAAAGAAGCCGGCAGCGAGCCTGCTCCTGAGCAGGAGAGCACCGAGGCTGCACCCGCAGAATAGGCATGGTATATAACCCTTTGTGAATATTAGTGCCAGAAATAGATACTGCAGATCTCGTTTATTTTTCTGGATAATGTTTAAGAAATTTACCTTTAATCTTCTGTTAGTATAAAAACTTTTTTCCAAAATAAAAGAGTGAATTTTTCATGTTAAGTTAAAAATCTTTGTTTTGTAATATTTAAAAAATAATACAGCAATGACTTTATATCCAAGAAGGTAATGTGAATGACTCACTCAGCAGGGAATTTAAAGAGCTGTGTTTAGCTTTGTATATACCAATACCTGATAAAAGTCAAGGTTCCATCTTGGCCATAGTGAGTTAATCAAATGCTAGTCTCTCGAGGTTTCACCGCAAAGGCATCCAAGGGCACCTCCTGCGTCTTAATTATCATTACTGCTGTGGCACCGATGCTTGGCGTGTTACAGAACCCATGCAGCCTTGACAGCGTAACTTTTTAATAGCAAGTATCAGTGTCTAAATTGGGGGTTCGTGGCAAAATTAAATGGGGAACTTTTATATCCAAAATAAGAAAATCTAAGGGTCTTTGGGTGGCCTCTAGGAAATAACTTATCCCAAGTGTTGTTTTTAGCAGGCACAGGGCCACCCATCGCCGTCTGTATGAACCAGGGCCCAGCTGGTTTGGCCTTTCCTGCTGCTTTTCCCAAGGCTCCTTGGTTGAGCAACATGAAGGTTTTTTACAGTTACTAACTATATTGTGACTAAAGTGATAAGAGCTTTAGTTATTTCCTGTTAAATTTAAGAAAAAACAAGTTTATAATTCTTTGAGCATTTTCAGGGGTTAACACTTAGAAAGTAGTTGTCAGTGATGGTAATGACATGGTTCCGAAAGAATTACTAGGATCTTTTAGACAGCAGTAACAAATGAATTTAGTGTCACATACTTAAAGACACCTATAATTTTTTAAAAATGTTTATTTCTCATTTGATGAACATTTTTCGGCAATGAACTTTTAAAATCCTCTGGGTGTAAATTATTTTAAAACACCCAGAGTGTATCCTTGTGGACCTCAGCATATACCAGATTTTTAACTTAGTTGTATGATTTGAATTCATTGGGGGCATACAAATCATTTCAGCTATTTAAGAGCTTTTTATTAAATAGAAAAATATAAAGTTTAGTGATGCAAAATCCTCCACGCTGAATAAAAACTATTAGTAATGTTTCGTTTGGAGAATTATATTTTCTGAGGTGTCATTGGCTTCCATTACATCATATATTTGCTGACATTAAAGTTCACATTTTTTCAGTGTATCCTTTAAATACAAAAATTGACCAGATAAATACATTGTTTAAACTTAATTGTGATTTTCTGTTTTTCTATGACCCATGGTTCTATAAAAAAGTGCCAGGCCAAGAAACAATGGTCAGAGTGATCTTTCCTTTAAGCTCTTTCAGCATCCTCGCCAAGCAGGCATGTATCATTCCTGATGTGCTTCTGCCGTTCACAGCAAGAAGAATGTCGCCACATCTAAAACCAAGTACAAAAAGCAAGGTACATGATTACCGTTTTGATCCACAGCTGAAGTTAATTCGAGTTTATTTGATGGCCCTAATTCTTGCTACATCTATTTTAATTACATTATTTCTCACCAAGATTTTTTTTCTGTCCCTCCTCACTTAAATTCTGTAAACTCTACCCACTCAGTTTGCCTTCAGAAGGGCTGCCAAAAACGAAAGAAGTTGCTGTGTGGGACCAAGTAACTATAATCATTTTGGATTTCTTAGACTGAATGCTACGTAAATAAATGTGTTTAATTTCTTACCAGTAAAAAGGGTATAATAAATACATGCCTATTTCAAGTTGGGCCAAGCTTTTATATGTATAATAAGGTATTTTTTTGTTAAATAGTTCTTGTCATTACCTAATTCTTCCATCATTGTATGCTGGTGTTCCTTCAACAATGGATTTGATAAAAAAAGGTTTGTTCCCATTGTATTCTTCGTAACCTCCTACAATGCAAAAGCCCAGACTTCCAGCTGTGTTTCTTCGTAATATAACATCTTTACAGTTGTACAGGTACCTGAAATAGAATTTAATCTAGTCAGTATATAAGCACAGTTAACTTGAACTCAGAGTTAATAATTCCCATTCCTTCTATTGGCATTATTTTTTAGGGTAAATAGCACTGGATGGCCCTGACTCAAAATTATGTCATAGCCGATTGATTGAACTTCCATTTTTCATCACTAAACACCCTTTTAAAAATCACACCATCTATCATGTTTTGCTTATATGTCTGCTGGGAAAGGTAATCATATTTTTGGGTTGAAGATTTAATGTTTCAATTTATACTAAACAAAGTTGAATATACATAAATCCTAACTAGTGAACCAAATTCAAGCATACTTATGTCATTTTTATTTACCTGTATACCTGTAGATAAAATTGTTCATGAAGGCAAAATTCTTTGAGTAAATGATTAATTTCAGTGAAAAATATTAAACCTACCCTAATTAATGCATTTGTTGAAAATCTGACTTTTGAAAAATATTAGTTTATATGTAGTTCTACATATTTAATTAAGGTTATAAAGACATGCAGGCATTAAGTGAATGGAAATTGTACATTTAAAGATTATAAGAATGATTTATGTAGGAGGAGAGAAAACTGGCAGTAAATGGAATAGCAAGTTATAGAAGGACTGGGAGACAGAGAGACTGCAGGTGTTTGTAAATGAGTAGAATCCTCAGCTAAAATAGAAGTGGAGATTTGAAGAAGCTCTTTTACTATTCAGTGGCGATTGGGTCAGTGTTAACGTAGGTGCAGGCTACAAGCAAACTACTACAGTTACAATAAAGGTTGTATGTCAGAAGCTGGATTTGACTCTAAAATCCCCCAGTCCAGAAACTAATTGGAAAGAAAATTAACATGTTCATTTAAAAAATCAACATACTGTTTATAAGCTGTACCTTAAAATATTAACTGATTTTTGAAAAACCAATAAAATGTCTCTTGTTAAATGTTTTATTAAGTCACAACGTTGGTCAGTAACATTTTTTTAAACTCTGAATTTACTTGTGAGCTTCATCCTATTCTGAATATATTATAGGACAAATCAAAGATTTGGCAAAGTATAAAGAATAGCAAGGAGCTTGGTAATTTTTCCAAATAAGAAATTATGGTTACCTCAAAAATAATTTAAGCTCTGTTGAAGGGAGTTAAATATGGTGTTAAAAAGTGTGGTGAAGTCTTCAGCTGCTCTGGAAAGTATACGTGTTTTTGTTCACTAGTTGTTCCTTCGAGGGCTTTCAACTCGTTTCTTCAGCCTACTTCTCACTTGACCTCAGTATTTCCCTGAGCCCCTACATTGCCAAAATGTGGTTCTCAACTTATGGTGCTTTTCAGTGTCCAGAGGTAAAAAATATATATTATTATCATAATAGTAAGATATTCTTTGCCTTTCACTCTTTTTTTTTATGTGCGCGCAGTGGCATTTCTCCAGAGAGCATGTGACAGGTGATCTGGCAACAGAGTACAGATATCATCTGTTGAGCCAAACATTAAAGAGGTTTGCAAAAATACACAGTGCTAATCTAGGGGTTGGGTAGGAAAGATCCACCTTACCAACCTGGGTGCATGACCCAGGCCAGCAGGTAGCCGTGGGTGGATTCCAGGTGTGGAGTAGCAGTGGGCAGACCCACTGAGGGCTGGCCACGGTCACACATTCACGCACAGATAAACCGGCGAAGGAGAGAGCAGTGAGACAGACTGCGCAGGCCCCAGTGGTGGGAAGCAGCAGAGGGGACCACTATTGTCCCTCTCTGACCCTGCCCCCACATACAGCATCACAAACCAGCAACTTGGGTGGCTCTGACCTCATGAACACTTAAGGCTTTGCTCCTCATACATAACAGGTGCGAACAGAGCAAAACATTATGGCTCAAGAAGAACTCAGAGCCCCAGAGCCCATAACTCTAAGTGATGAAGAAATAGCCAAACTTTCAGATGCACAGTTCAAAACACTGGTGATCAGGATGCTCACAGAACTGGTTGATTTTAGTCACAAATTAGACAAACATATGAAGGCAAAACTAATTGAAATGAAGGGAAATGCACAGGAGACCAATAGTAATGGAAGGAAACTGGGACTCAAATCAAGGGAGTGGACCAGAAGAAAGAAAAAAATGACCACACAGAAAAATATAAAGACACAAGAATTCAAAAAAATAAGGACAGGCTTAGGAACCTCCAGGACATCTTTAAACATTCCAACATCCGAATTATAGGGATACCAGAAGGGGAAGAGGAACAGCCACTAGTGGAAAACTTATCTGAACAAATAATAAAGGAGAACTTCCCCAATCTGGCAAAGGAAATAGACTTCCAGGAAATCCAGGAAGCTCAGAGAGTACCAAAGAAGTTGAACCCAAGAAGGAAAACACCAAGGCATGTCATAATTACATTAGCCAAGATTAAAATGAAGGAGAGAATCCTAGAAGCAGCAAGAGATAAGGGGACAGTCACCTACAAAGGAGTTCCCATCAGACTGTCAGCAGATTTCTCAAAAGAGACCTTACAGGCAAGAAGGGGCTAGAAAGAAGTATTCCAAGTCATGAAATCCAAAGACCTACATCCAAGATTGAACTGTCCAGCAAAGCTTTAATTTAGAATGGAAGGGCAGATAAAGTGCTTCTCAGATAAGATCAAATTCAAGGAGTTCATCATCACCAAGCCCTTATTAAAGGGACTTGTCTAAGAAAAAGAAGATAAAGATGAACAGTGAAAGGACAGCAAACTCACAGTTACTAACAACCACACCTAAAACAAAAGCAAACTAAGAGGACAGCTAGATCAGGAGCAGAACCATAGAAATGAAGATCACATGGAGGGTTAGCAACAGAGGAGTGGGAGAAGGGGGAAGAAGGTACAGAAAATAAGTAGCATAGACGGTAGGTAGAAAATAGACGGGGGAGGGCAAGGATAGTAGGAGAAATAGAGAATGTAAAGAACTTGAGACGTGGTCATAAACTAAAGGG